AGCTTAGCATGTATTCCTTTTTCATTTGCAAAACAAGGTCAAGGAAGTTAATCCCTCCATAGAAATGTTATTGTGAATACAAAGTGGATTTTAAGCACCAGGAAAATATCTGAAATAATAGTAAAGGCGGTTAATGGAAGTGAGAATAGAGATATCTGGATTGCATTACATCCTTATTGAGGGTATCGGTACAATAATATTACATATATGTATTTTTTTTTCAAATTACAACTCTCAAGTGACAATAATAGAAATGGTTCATGAACATTTCACTCCTCTAATACAGATATACAATAACAGTGTAAATATTTAGAACTGACACCACCAAGAAAAGAAGGCATAGTAATAAATATATCCTGCATATTCACTTCTGGAAAAAATATATTTAAATTAATGTTATTGTTAGAAATGCAATTATCAGCAGCCTACGGCATGTTTATATTTCCTCCTTCTCTCTTTGTCTATCTATGTATACATGAGAAAGAGAGAGACGGTAACTGTCTTAGGCTAGAGATTCCCTCTTAGAACAAAGTTCATTTTTTGTGATTAGCTGCTCAAATCCCAACTACTGACTTAATATATACATTGCATTGCAAAATTGAGTGGTGAGAAACAATGGTTTGTATCTTTCCAGCTTCCCAGGAGAATGGAGAAAGGTTTCAACTTTCTATAAAATGCTACACTCACTGACACAGGACTATGGAGGTTTAATCTAGTGGCATATCCTGATTTCCCAGGCGGTTGTGCCATGTAAATCACCTTAAACAGACTTAAGAATGACCTCCTTTCAAAATACATAAAACTAACCAGTGTATTTGTCTTGCTTTTCCTATTGTAGTCTTGCATCTGAATCTAATACCAAGAAGACAGCATTTCCTCCAGGATGGTTTGTTTAAAGAATCTTTATTTCCAGAGGACTTAGAGAAAATACTAAAACCAGTGGGAAAAGGGTAAACTCAGGTTCTAGAAACCATGGAGAACACTCAAGAAGGTGATTACTTTATCTTTCTATAAATGTTCAGGTCAATTCCTATTTTGGTTACAATTGTAATTTGGAGTCCTAATGGCTGCAAAAATCCCTCAAGCCTCCTTCATGTGGTTTTCAGAATTACAAGAGGTCTTTAAAAGGAATTATTGTCCATCAGTCACAGCTGACTATTATTTACTCAAGATAGAGCCTAGAATTTCCTTCAAACTGTCTGTGTATCACTGCACAGGTATGGCGGTGAATGAAAATTTAAAAAATATATATATAAATGGCTAAGAAAATTTTGGTAAAGATACCAATGCTATTTTTTATGCTTATCAAGGAAGAAATGCTACAATCCCAATAAGTGAACTTTTGCTATTTTCTAAAACAATATTTAAGACAGAAATGAAAAAAATGCATATTAAAGCCTCAAAATAATAAATGCCATGTATCCTATTTAAATATTTATGTATCTGAGGTACATAAATGAGGTCACCTGCAAAGTAAAATTAATTTTAATAAAATTTATTCCAAATGTCCAAAATGTATTTTTAATAATAGGTCAATTAAAAACAATACTAAAGGATGAGATGGGTTACAAGAAAAATAGTAAATAAATATATTTCATTATTTAAATATACTGTAGTGTTTGGTTAAGAGTGAAAAGAAAAAATACATTTTTCCTTGAACTAAAATACATGAAAATTGCTTTGTTCCTCTTTAATTAAGTGTTAAAGAAGAAAAAGAAAAATCTACAATGCCTGAACTGATTTGATGCAGAATGTAGAGGAAAAACAAAAGCATGTGCATTTTATCAGGTTATATCAATTATCTGACTTAAGATTTGTATGACTAATACTGCCATACCAATAAACTTTAAAAAGTTTATATCTCTCAATGAATACATAATTACCTATCTCTACCATAATGTATGAGACATAATTTATAAGTTTTCGGAATCCTTATTACAAAGTGTTATGAAATAATCAGGCGCCATTAATACCCTGTATCAGACTTCACAGACACCATATGTTTTAGCTCCTTTTAATTTACTTCTATCAAGACCATAAGCATATTCAGCAAGCCTGGAAAATACAATAAAGTTGCTTGTCTTGGGGAGGAAACCACTGAGGTCATGATTAAGGTTATTCCTTGGAATTGTGGGGATCCTGACTTGACTGCAACTGCTGATCTAACTGTCTGTGCTAACACCAGAATCCCTCGGTGTTTGGTACTGACTGAGGAGTAGGAGTGGGAGAGGAGGGAGGGAGACGAGAGGTTAGGGCAGGGGCGATGAGGCAAGGCCAGAGGCATGGAAGATAAGGGAAATGGACTGAGATGAATTCTGGAAACCACAAAAAAGAATATCTGCTATCTTAGCAACTGAATGAGCTAATTTAATCATTGGATCAGAAACGGTCAGTACTTGGCTCAGTGCTTTTTATAAAATCCAGAAAATCTGTCAGTTAAGTATGGTTATTATCTTCAATTTTCAAATGTTACTGAATTCAGAACAGTGCCACATTACAGTGATTGTGATTATTAGCAAGGACCAAAACATATTTCATTAACAATGTTTTCACTTAGAAATTGTCCAAGCAAATCTATTACATACACTAATAACAGTTAATATTTGTATCATGCATTACAGTCTAGGTAATAATTTCATTTGTGATTGAGTCTTACAAAAATGTTATGAGCAGGTTATTATTATGTCCACACCAAGATCCCCTAGAGGAGAAAACGGCAACCCACTCCAGTATTCTTTGCCGGAAAAATCCCATGGACAGAGTAACTGGGCAGGCTGCAGTCCATGGGGTCACAAAACTGGCCATGACTGAGTGCCTGAGCACACACACAAAGACACTCTTAAAAAGACTGGAACATCTAAGACATTTTCAGTCTCTATTGTTCATCATCTGTGTGTTAATGCACAAATTCAAATCCATACATGCCACACAATACCAAAAACATAAGCAGAGACACAAAATTTTTTACCTCAGCTTAGAGTATAGTACTCAAAATGCTTCAAAATTTTTGAATGAGAACATTTTGAATGAATATTCTGAATCATTATTTCCTGATTAAGAAAATGGTGGTAATGATACCCATTTGGTAAATTTTTATTAAAAAACTACACATAAAATACTATTTAAATTATCATAGTACTTGGCATAGGAGGTATTCTCAATAATTTTAAGTGCCTATGTCTTTGCTGTTATATTTTAATAGAAAGAGAAAAAAATGTGTTTTTAAAAGTGACAACTGTATACAGGTAAAACATCCATTTCTCTCCATTCTTAGTTATTTTCACACTGCAATCCTTCAAGTTTGTTAGTGATAAATATAGCATTTCAATATTAATAAATATTTACTTATTCAGCCATATATTTTGTCCACACTTATGCAGTATTATCTTATAAATAATTTTCACAAAAACCATTAAATTCATAATTGCAAAACAGGTACTGTCCCATTTAACGGATAAGACACTATAAAGCCACTCCACCAGTTAAGGTACTTGCTCAAGTAAAATTAATGAGTCAGTGGGAATCAACATAAAATTCTTGGCTTTTTTGAAGTCTTATTTAATTTTTCAATTACTCCTTTTCAATCACCCTAACCTATGTATTAATTTAGGATAGTATAAAGTTTGACAGAACAGAATTTTTTGTCTACTTTCACATAATCTGAAAAATGTTTATGTTTATGAAGGTGTAATGTGAGTTACAATCTCTATATTTAAAATGGAAATTTTTTTTGGAGGGGGTAAAGTAGAAAAGGATAGCTTTATTGCTTTGCCAGGCAAAGAAGGACACAGTGAGCGCCTGTCTCAAGAACTACGTGTCCCTAAACTTAAATTTTTAAGGATAAATTTCCCACATTTGCTCATATGTCTTAATCATGGGTGGAAGATACCTGTGCTCTGTGCGCCTTCATCTGCTTTCACTGGGAGCCAACACTGCTGCCATCCCTTCCCATGAAGTCAGATTTCACTTCAAATCATTCTAAATACATACATCTTAGGCAGCTGCTACCAATCCATCAGATTGTCCCTTGGAAATATCTATCTACCTATCTATTTATCTCTCTCTATATATATATATACATATACATATACATACAAGTTGATTTATGACTTAATGCACTTAGGATAAATTTCTTCTAAATGCTAATCCAGAGACAAAACATTTGTTTTGGATCCAAAAATATCTGATAAAACATTAAAATATCATATTTAAAATTCTGAATTCATTTTAATGCATTGATTTAAATGATTATAACTGCCTTTCATGATCTGTGCAGATACATGGTTATGCTTCAAACCTGTGGTTCACTGACAAAGTTTACCTCAAGAAAAATGGCCTCTACCTATTAAGAGTGGTAAAATCATTGTAGGGATTGCTTACCATTCACTCATCTTTTGTCCGGAGTACCGAAGACAATGTATGTTACATAGTCATTTCTCAATTCATATTTACTTAAGGAATGAGTACATGAAATGTAGGAAGTAAGAAGGAAAGGAAAGATGAAAGTTCTAAGGGAGAAGGAAGAGAAACATAAGGAAGAAAAGAAAGCAGGGGAAAGGAAAAGAAAGAAAAGAAATAGAATGAAATGGAAAGAAGGGGTAATTTAATCACAGTGATTCAGAAGAAGAAAAATTTCAATTCATTCAAAAGGAATTAAGAAGCATTAACATATGAAAGCCAATCTGTACAAATAAGTTGATTCATTGGGTATAAGTATCTATGCTAAAAAAATACATTTTGTTAATTACCTTTTGCATATATAAATCATCAAAAGGAACAGATTTTTGCTTTATTTAGATATGTGGTCAATTTTACCCACTTGCTTTGCATTAAACTTTCAATGTTTTACATAAAAATGTCAAAATATTCAAACATTATGTATCATTAATTTGTTTTGAAAGAGTGATTAGGTCCACAAAGCATGATGTTTCATATAACAATGAGCAAAAATGACACTAGAATAATAAATTCCTAAAATAACTTACTAGATTGATACTTACCAGAATATCTTTTCCAGCCCACTTGCATTCATCTCTTCTGGTGTAAGATACTGGCCACACAATCTAAGGGCAGAGAAGAAACATTATTTTCTGCCAATTAAGTTTTCTAAGAGATCCAACATTACAGTCTGTTAGATCAAGTAGGGCAACTGAGACAAAGAAAGTTCCAGAAAGCATTATGTGGCGAGAAACTTTGAGTGTAGACTTTAAAGTGGCATCAGATAATTAGCATGAAGTTAAATCATATACTCTCTGTCTACCTGTTAGGTTTTGCTGAAATTTGAGGTACATAGAAATTTATGTGGTCAACAGATCTAAACAGTGTGTGATGGAAAGAACTGTAAGGCAGTTTAGGAGTAGAAGATCTTGAGACCACATGAGAATCTAGTGGAGAGAGACAGAAATAGGCATAGAATGTAGCTTGCATTCTTTTCAGTGAATCAGTTTTTGTCATAAAATAGTGATTCTGATTTTGAAATTTAAACATCAGGTGCTCTGGATCCATTTCCATAAGTCAGATCTCAGCATGACATTCATGAATGAGCAACTGATAGGGTTACAGAAATCCACTTTATTTATTTTTTCATTTATTTTTATTAGTTGGAGGCTAATTACTTTACAGTATTGTAGTGGGTTTTGTCATACATTGACATGAATCAGCCACGGATTTACATGTATTCCCCATCCCAGAAATCCACTTTAGAAAGGAATCTTTCTTTTTTGAAAGGAAAATAGGTGAAGAGTAGCAATGCATACGTTCAGGAGATAGAGGAGGAAATGAGGAAACAGATACTCTAAAAAAAACACCCTCCTCACTGTGGGTAAAACTCAGACTAACTGGGTAATAACTTTGCATTTTCATCCCTAATATTTGTTCATCTTCTTTCCAAAGTTTCCTGTATGATTTGAATTCAGGGACACTGGTAGGTAAATCAATTCATGACTCTTGGCTTAAAGGATTATAGATGCATTTCCCTCAATAACATTAATTAATTAAAATATCCCCATCTAAAGTTTAACATAAACTTTTCAGTTCCCCTGAGCAATTTCAATGACTCCTATCTTTTTGGGCACAGCAATTTTAATTTTTTTTAACTCCTCTTTCTTGTCTGGTAACAATAGTTAATTTCAGGGGGAAAACAGTCATATATAAAAGAAAAATTCAGAGATGATGGCAGTTAGTCATTCATGTCTGCTAGAAAGCTTTTTGTCTCAAAATGAATGATTATCATTCATTTGGGAACTTCTAGATAATTCAATATAAATGGTCATAAATTTGAGCAAAGGCTGTGATAATCTAGGGAATAAAGGCAAAATGCAATGCATTTATAAATAAGAATTCAGGACTTATTGAAATAAATTATGATGACATGGCAAGTGGATTTCAGGTCCATGTCACAATGAAAAACTCTGAAGATTTTTTTATATGCATTTAATTTTTTTTACAATTTTAAGCACTTAATTTATGTAATCCTTTTGTTTTCATATACTTTTCATGTATGTCTGTATTTGTAAAGTACTATAACTTGCGCCATAAGTTTTATTTTTCACAAAGGAGTTTCATAATTTTTTTACAAAGGAAGAATATAGTTACCATGATTTTAATTAACAAGCCTTACATTCTTACAATTAACATTACCCTGATTCCTGAATAAGGGCTGGCACCTCCAATCCACAGGCTCCATAGCCCTGTCTTCTCACTGAATAGGGAAAAGCCAAGTGAGCTATTCTTCCTTAAAAGTTAACAATGGAGGAAGATCAAATATAAATTTTCTCTGGAACACAGAGATAATAAATAGCAGAGCTAAGATTTGACTTTCATATTCCACTTTTCAGACAGATTGTGCAAAAATCATGTATTATTAAAATAGATACCTTTTTTAGTTCAAAAAGGCAAGTTGTTTTCTTGCAGTTTCCTAGTTTTTCATAGATGGCATTGACACAACACAGGACTCATTTTCAGATTTCTCTCTTATGTCATTATTAACAAAAAAGTAATCTTGGTAACATTCATGCTATATTTTCTTATAATTTAGAGGGGTGTATTTAGTTCAGTTCAGTTCAGTCACTAAGTCATGTCCGATTCTTTGAGACCCCGTGGACTGCAGCATGCCAGGTTTCTCTGTACATCACCAACTCCTGCAGCTTGCTCAAACTCATGTCCATTGAGTCGGGCATGCCATCCAACCATCTCATGCTCTGTCGTCCCCTTCTCCTCCTGCCTTCAATTCCTCCCAGCATCAGGGTCTTTTCCAATGAGTCAGTGCTTCACATCAGGTGGCCAAAGGATTGGAGCTTCAGCTTCACCATCAGTCCTTCCAATGAATAGTCAGGATTGATTTCCTTTAGGACTGACTGGTTGAATCTCCTTGCAGTCCAAGGGACTCTCAAGAGTCTTTTCCAACACCACATTTCAAAAGCATCAATTCTTCCACACTCAAATTTCTTTATGGCTCAATTCTCACATCCATACATGACTACTGGAAAATCCATAGCTTTGACTAGACATACATTTGTTGGCAAAGTAAGGTCTCTGCTTTTTAATATGCTGTCTAGCTTGGTCATAGCTTTTCTTCCAAGGAGCAAGTGTCTTTTAATGTCATGGCTGCAGTCACCATCTGCAGTGGTTTTGGAACCCAAGAAAATAAAGTCTCTCACTTTTTCCACTGTTTTCCCATCTATTTGCCATAAAGTGATGGTACCGGTTGCCATGATCTTAGTTTTTTGAATGTTGAGTTTTAAGCCAGCTTCTTCACTCTCCTCTTTCACATTCATCAAGAGGCTCTTTAGTTCTTCATCCCTTTCTGCATAAGGGTGGTATCATCATCATTTCAGAGGTTATTGATATTTCTCCCAGCAATCTTGATTCCAGCTTGTGCTGCATGCAGCCTGGCATTTCACATGATATACTCTGCATATAGGTTAAACAAGCAGGGTGACAATATGATGCAGCCTTGACATACTCCTTTCCCAATATGGAACCAGTTTGTTGTGCCATGTCTGGTTCTAACTGTTGCTTCTTGACCTGCGTACAGATTTCTCAGGAGGCAGGTCAGGTGGTCTGGTATTCCCATCTCTTGAAGAATTTTTTCACAGTTTTTATGACCCACACAGTCAAAGGCATCGGGATAGTCAGTAAACTAGTAGATGTTTTTCTGGAACTCTTGTGCTTTTTCTATGATCCAACAGATGTTGGCAATTTGATCTCTGGTTCCTCTGCCTTTTCTAAACCCAGCTTCAACATCTAGAATTTCACATTTCACATAACTGTTCAAGCCTGGTTTGGAGAATCTTGAGCAGTACTTTGCTAGCATGTGAGATGAGTGCAAATGTGCAGTAGTTTGAGCATTCTTTGCCATTGCCTTTCTTTGGGACTGGAATGAAAACTGACCTTTCCAGTTCTGTGGCCACTGCTGAGGTTTTCAAATTTGCTGGCATATTGAGTGCAGCACTTTCGCAGCAGTATCTTTTAGGATTTGAAATAGCTCAACTGGAATTCCATCACCTCCACTAGCTTTGTTCGTAGTGATGCTTCCTAAGGTCCACTTGACTTTGCATTCCAGGATGTCTGGCTCTAGGTGAGTGATCACACCATCATGGTTATCTGGGACATTAAGATCTTTTTTGCCTATTTCTTCTGGGTATTCTTGCCTCGTCTTCTTAATCTCTTCTGTTTCTGTTAGGTGCATACTGTTTCTGTACTTTATTGTGCCCATCTTTGCATGAAATGTTCCCTTGGTATCTCTAATGTTTCTGAAGGGATCTCTAGTCTATCCCATATTAATATAAATATCCTATATTTCTTTCCTTTGATCACTGAGGAAGGCTCTCTCATCTCTCCTTGCTATTATTTGGAACTCTGCATTCAGATGGGTATCTTTCCTTTTCTCCTTTGCCTTTAGCTTCTCTTCTTTTCTTAGTTATTTGAAGGCCTCCTCAGACAGCCATTTTGCCTTTTTGCATTTCTTTTTCTAGGGGATGGTCTTGGTCACTTCTTCCTGTACAATGTCATGAACCTCTGTTCATTGTTCTTCAGGCACTCTGTCTATCAGACCTAATCCCTTGAATCTATGTGTTACTTCCACTGTATAATCACAAGAGATTTGATTTAGGTCAAATGAAACATTTGCTTTTCCTGTGGTTCTCCCTATTACTTCAATATAAGCTTGAATTTTGCAATAAGGAGTTCATGGTCTGAGCCACAGTCAGCTCCCGGTCTCGTTTTTGCTGATTGTATTGAGCTTCTCCATATTTGGCTGCAAAAAATATAATCTGATTTTGGTATTGACCATCTGGTGATGTTCATGTGTAGAGACGTCCCTTGTGTTGTTGGAAGAGGGTGTTTGCTATGACCAGTTCGTTCTCTTGACAAAACTGTTAGCCTTTTCCCTGCCTCATTTTGTACTCCAAAACCAATTTGCCTGTTACTCCAGGTATCTCTTGACTATCTACTTTTGCATTCCAGAGGGGTGTGTAGTCTCAACTTATTACAGACCGGGCTGAACAAAAATGGCTTAAATATCTAACATGAAAAATAAATAAATTCTGGTGTAGAAAGTGCTCTTTTGGAAAGCAATTTAATGAGAATAACTATAAGTCAATAGAGTAAATATATAAATTGTCTTTCTAATAGCATTTATTTCCATGAAGGATAGTTCCTAAGTTTTGGTTAGATTTATTAACCTGTTGCTATTTTCTTTTCCTTGCTCTAAAATTTCTCATTAATTTAATTGTTGTTGTTTAGTCTCTCATGTCCAGGTCTTTTTGTGACCTCATGGATAGTATCCCACAAGGCTCCTCTGTCCTTGGGATACCCCAGGCAAGAATTATAGAGTTGACATCTCCTTCTCCAGGGGGTGTTCCCAACTCAGGGATCGAGCCTGTGTGCCCTGTGTTGGCAGGTGGTCTCTTTCCCACTGAGCCACGAGGGAAGCCCGGTAATTAATCTCATTAACAGCACTTACATTTCTTACCCTCATATTCAAAGTGCTTCACGATCATATTAGACTCTCCTTTCTTTATGCTCTATACATTTAATCTCGGTAGCTCCTCTTACTCATCAT